TTGTGTCTACGTTTTAATTGTACAAGTGATTGTAAGTACGTCTATATACATATTAGTTATGCTCATGACCTGTTTCAACCTACGTCTCTGTAGCTGATTGAAATAAATAAATTATTATTATTATTAATACTTAAGAGCGTTTACTGTTTCGGCTCCACCATAAATTGAAATTATTTGCAGTCCCCCACCAATATAAAACATGTATGGTATTCAATCGCTTGCACCTGGAAAAGTCCAAAAATCTATTACAGTGAGAGAAAAATTTACGCTTGTGGCATGATCGGCTGCCTGAAAAGAGGGATTACCGCATGACATTGATTAACAACGAATTAAAAAAGCACAACGCCTTTGTACCTTCATATTTAAATTAGGAAAATTTTTTATTGGAATGTGCCTATACGCAATTACGGGAGATTTTCCAACTTTAGAATTATTTATAAGGAGAAGCGCAAAAATCAGCGAATCGTTCGTTATTAAATTTCCAACGTCATTTTTAAAGAGATTTGCAAAGCAGGATAACTAAAATGCATAAAAATTTCTGTGCAGTAATATTTAATTGAAGTTATTGGAATCGCACACCTTCGCGTTTTAATAAAAATTACTGCGCCTGCAGATGACAAGGGAGCAGTTTAATGAAAAGTTTCATTCGTAGCTTTTGATGCACATTTTAATATCATCAACTTGTACATATAATTCGTTTTAAGGTGGATATGACATTAAGTCTCTACCAAAATGCAGTTCCAATTTTAGATACCACTTAAATTTTAAAAAGGGAAAACGTATGTGACGACGTCAATTAACTATTTCATCAGTAATTCAAAGCTAGACGTATGTGCATAAGGACACTCCTCAGGGTATTTTTCAGTATTTGAAATTTCAGCATTAGGACCTTGGAAAAAGCTGCGTTTCTTAAAAATAGGTTTCAACATGTCGGTAGGGTCAGAATTCAAATGAGAAAATCTTTAACGCGAAATGTCAAAATTGAGTATCCACAAACAAGACCAGTGAAGGTCTTAACAAAACGCATCTGTTGATGGAGTCAAAACTCTAAATGCGAATATCTCGAGAACGGGGTATCATCTTATGA